AAAAAAAAAAAAAAAGGAAAACAGCTCGCTAACTTTGATTATTGCGCTATCGTTACGTCAACAGCTCGTACTAGTGCTGTGTTTCCATCGAGTTATAGAAACACGATTTTTAACCAATCAGCGCGCGTATTTTCTTGGGACTGTTTTGTAAAATACAGTACAATACAATATATGAATCTATATAGCACTCATTTCCGACGCCCAATGCCCCTTTACAAAAACTGATTTATATGTTTGCCGTGTGAGAGTACGAGAAGGACAATTGGCGATTTATCCCATCTGTAAAATTAATAAAAGATCCAATGGCTCTGACGTTAGATGGAAGGCTTATTCCACAAATGCGCTCTACTGTAGTAGAAACTACGTTTCAAAAAATCGGTACGGGGCTTAGGCAGAGCCAATTTGTTTTCACTATTTCTAAGTCCATAGTCCGTGCTGAAGGGTTTAAATAGGCCTTTCAGGTACTCCGATGACTGATTGTTCAATGTTTGTGATTAAATTAAATCTTTGTGATTAAATTAAATGTTTGTGATTAAAATAAAAACTACTGCTACCTAAAATTACAATATCATCAAAACAAGAGTGCAACTTAAATTGTACCAGTAAGGTTTAGACTCACTTAAGATCAAAACTGCAACTTCTTAAAATGACTATATCATTATTAAAGACTGAAAAAATATTCAATGAAACAAAGACACACCCAGTTTAACCATTGCCCTAAATTAAGTAAGCTTTACTAAAAGTCTCATTCAAGAGTAGTCTTACTGTTATTTTTAAAACTATGAGGGATGAAATAGATCTTAGACTGGCTGGAAGTGAGTTCCAAAATTTAGGAACGGCAACGTTAAAAGCTCTATTACAGTATCTACACGGTAAGGTCGTTTGGATTTTTTGAATTTGTATTTTTACTTCATCAAAAAATAATCGTGCTAATGGAAGAGCACCTCAAAATTTGTGACGCAGCACTTGAAAACCAACTTACTACAACGGCAGTTTTTGTTATTCTCTAACACATTTCACCGTCCCTTTACACCCAGTTCATCATAAAAGTACAACCGAAGGAGCTCAAAAACCAGCCTTTTAAATTTTATTTATGCATAAAAGCGCTCTCAGTTGAAGTACAACAACTTTCACGCGGGATGCTTTGGTCGATGTACTAATGCTATCAACTTCGAATGGCTATATCCGCGCAACAATAAACACGAACGGAAACGCTAACATTCAGTTTTGCAGTTGTATTTTCTTTACCAAAAAGATAACATAATGTGGTTCGCGTTAAAATTTATGTAGTAGTATAGTAGTATAAGCATTGTCGACCTTATTACTGTTGTGTCAAATTGACATAGAAATGCCCCACTCGTGTCGCATTTCAAATTTTCATGCAGCTCCCAATTTTTCACTGCGGAAAAGATATACACTAAAGACGCCTTCTCTGGCTTCGTTTGTGTACGTTTTTTCCCTGTTGCTGCAGAGGTTTAGGTCGTGTTTAAGAATAAAGTCGAAGTAAAGCGATTTTAGGGAGTTTTGGTTTCACTGTTTTTCAGTGTTTTTGACGTGCAGCGATGAGAAATCTGAAAGCGGTGGGAGTTTTCAAGCAAATTTATGGCTATTTTCCTCCTTCCGCAAATTCGCCTGACTTTGCGATGGGTCGCACCGAAGAAATATCTGTAAGATTTGCGATCTAAATTACCACTCAACTGATGGGTTCCGACAACAAAGGGAAAGCAAATTTATGGCTGCTCTCCTTCGGTATAAATTTTTAACTTGCTGGGCTTCGCGATGGCTCGCGGTGAAAAATATCTGTTGCGGTGCTACGGTGAACCAAAAATTCTGCAAGATTTGCAAGTTTAAATTCCCACTTAGCAAACGTTTGCCGGCGATTGAAGAAAGCAATGTTCTCGGTGGGTCTCGCTATGAGAAATATCCGCGAGATTTGCGAGCTCAAAATCCCCCTCAGCAAACGACTATAGTTTGCCTGAAAAAATGACTACGAGATTTGCAAGTTTAGATTCTCACCAAGTAGGCGATGTAGGAAAGCGTTGGTTAGGGCATCTATCGAGCATGTTCTTGGTGCATTTTGGAGGTAATACGAGCTTTTGAAGAAAATTTATGGATAAAACAAATATTTGTTCCTTTGGCCCGACGTGATTTCAACATACTTCCACTGGAAACAAGCACAAAGACCACGTGCTCCCAAATTAGACCGAAAGTATGACGCGGTCTACCTCACGCATCCTGCGCAATGATGCAAGAGACCGCAAACAAAACTACTGCCGGTGTACGTAGGATCTGTAAAAGATCTAATCAGCTAAAAATAGAAACATAACAATGTAGCAAGCCTGATCGACTACGTAGCAAGCTTAACGGGACAACGACATGATAGAGTCCAAACTGAAAGTCAAGAATTACAACCGCGGACAGCTGCTTCGACCTGGTTGAGTCTCGTCAGCAAGGTGTAGCAGCAAGAAGTAAAGCAGCCGGTTGGTTGGCCGATCGTCTACTAAATGCACATGATAATGACCTCAGGTGAAACTCAATCCAAATGTTTGCGGATTGGCCAATGTCTAAACGCGTGATCACGGACAATATGCAAAATACAGAAGATCGTGTCGTGGTCGCGAAAGGAGAGTGCGGAGAGACAAAAACTTTCTCGCTGAAAGTACATTGCCATACCATGTTAAACATGAGCAGCATATCGGATCTAAAGAGGCCACTAAATACAATGATTCATGCAGAGACCACAAACGAAAAATGCTGCTAGTGTACGTAGGAACTGTAAAAGAACTAAGCAGCCAAAAATAGAAACAACAATAAAGGAGAGAAGCTTGACGGGTGGACAGCTGCTTCGACCTGGTTGGGTATCGTTAGCACGGTGTAGCAGCAAGAAGTGAGCCTCATTTTGAGAACCGCGCTTGCCCTAGGCCGCGTGATTAATAATAATAATAATAATAATAACAATAATAATAACAATAATGATAATAGCAGTAATAATAATAATAATAACAATGATAATTATTATTACTATTATGATAATAATAATTATAATAATAATAATAGGAAAGTTGCAGTTATGACGACGATCATAGTACCTGGCGAAATAAAATTTACAAAGTACAGTGGTCTGAGTAGCTCACGGTTAGAGAGAACGGCGTGAATGACATATACGTAATGGTCTTTTTCTATAAACCTTGCATGCCGAGATAACTATTCAGTAACAGGCAGATGATATTTTTTTAGCACCAATTCATGGCCGTTGGTCATCATGGCAGAGCTGGGGTAGTGTTGGCTGTCAAGGTGGTTATCAAACAAGATACCGCTACTGCACCAATCCCCCACCAGCCCACGGTGGATCCAGATGCAGTGGAAGTCGTAGCCAAAAACAGGATTGCCCTGAGTGTTCTCTTGGTTTGGCACAGTGCGAACATCTATGCCATAATACGCTCGGTTCATTCACGTGCAGTTGCTATCCTGGGTATCAAACATCGCCACAAAATTGGAAAAGATGCGTCAGTAAGTATAAACTTTCGGGCTGAACATCTGCTGTCTGAACTAGTTCCCCTTAACTGAACGAGAGGTCTCTATGGGAAAATTTTGACCGAGAAGGTTGTAAGTACAAATCTAATGCAATGCATGAAGTTTGCACCTATGACGAGGTCAATATCTTTTCATCCACACCTCCCAAGCTCGGTTGAAACTATAGCGCTACATAACAAACAAAAGAACACCTCAATTAGCCAGATTCCACTTGTTACACGTTTCTTTTTTCTCTAGCCTCTTTTTTTGACTGACCCAATTTCTCACAAAAGTTTAAACCGGTCTTAGTCACAATGAGAACCTTTTCTTGAGAGGTACTGTAAATCTTCAGCAACCTTTTCACGGTATGCTGCAGACAGAGTACCTATTTTGGGACACCTTATCATGTTGTGAAACGTGGTTTTGAAACTATATATATATATATATATATATATATATATATATATA